TTAGACCGTGCGAAGAAAGAGTACCGGAGAGAAATATTGGGCCTATGAAAGCTTGAAAGAGGTGTATTGGCTGTATAAAGTTGATGATGGTGAGCGCGATGTGCGCCCGTGTTGCCGTTCGCGCTACAACGCAACATCCCGGTCGGCGATCATGCAGGTCCTGAAGCACATCGTGAAAGAAAAGCAGCCTTGACATCATGCAGTAAAGTTTCCACCAATGTCCTCACTGGACGTACCGTCTTTTTCCGTTCCCAAGGCTCGCGTTCGCCATCGCAGAGTTTGCCTAAACGCATAAGAAAACGTCCTGAGGAACTCCTTTGACAGCGCGTCATCTCGCAAGCGTCGATACTGTTCGGTGCTAAAGTGAATAGAGGGCGACAGCTTGGCAAACGCATTGCGTTCATCTCCGCACATAACCGGTTCTGCGGGCGTTCATGGTTGCGCATGACCGTGCTCATTTGCGCTCCTCGGTTCACGATGGGTGGGACAGCCGCTGTAGTATCGCCCTCAGGGGTACGCGAACCATGTGTATGACGACTCACGAGTGACGAGAAACCACTCTTCCGACGCGCCGACAACGTGTCCATGAGTCGAGTCGTGCACCGATGACGTGGTGTTGTGAGAGACGTGTAAGAGCGCTCGTCAATGACTTCTAGTACTGTACGAGTCCCGCATTTTCCACAAAATTGCTGGACCGATGTACGGCGAGTCGTCCGGTAAATCAGGCCAGTCTTTCCACGACAGCCTCAGCAGTCTCTCTTTGACCCCTGGATTGAAATAAGGTGCATCAACGATGACATCCACGGTGTAGGCTGTCGCTGCCTTGCGATCGCCGAGTTTGGAACAAGCTTTTGCGGCCTTGAGCGACAACAATGATCTTGCACGGTTGAGACGTTCGATTTGGGACAACCTCCGCTCATCGTCAGGGCCGTCGATTACGTCCGGGAATGCCACCCGATCATCCCTACAGAGGTATTTGATGCCATCTTCAGCAGCTTTTCGAGCTTGTAGGTAAGCGTGCTTTGCCTGCTCCGGGTACTCTTTGGCTCGTTTGGCCGCGAGCATGTAGCTGAGTGCGAGAACATTGTACAGGTCGGCCGCCTCCCCAAATCGATACGGCCCGTCGGCCAGAATTCCATCGCACTTGTGCCCTAGATGGCTTTGGCGATAGTCGTGGCAGCTCCAGGAAATTTCAAGCATTCGGAGCATCAGGCGCGGCAATTCGTGGGTCTGCCCGTCTGGTATCTCTTCCCTCATACTCTGGCCGTCAGGATCATACTCCTTCTGCATCCGGTACCAAACCCGATCTTTGTAGCAACGCAAGCCAAGTGAAAAGTGGCTGCAGCTTGAAGTTTCGTCATTGGCACAGAGGCTCATGATGGCGTAAATATAGTCATCGTCGATCGTGCCGTCGACCTTCAAGGCGACAAACCTAGGAAGACGTTCTGCCGAGAGGAAGCGCCCAAAGACGAGCTCGGAAAACCGTTCCGTCGTATAGCGAAAGGTTTGTTGGACTTGCATTTGCACCATCCCGCAACCAATTCCGTGCTTATACTTGCCATTGAGAGCGGTTGCGAAAAGCGGTAGTGCCTGCGCCGTGACGATAAATTGTGGTGTACCGTGTGCAGCAAGGAGTTGACTGATGCCCAGAAATTCCATTGTCATTGCGAACCGAGGACATTGTGTGATCTTGCGAGGGTCCCTAACTTTTCGAAAGACTGGAGTCTTTTCGTAGGTGCCTTGTTCGAACAATGTGTCTGTGTTCGAGCTGATCACAATGAAGATGTTTTTCGCGTAGAAGACGTCGCTGCTTTCGGCGTATACTTGGCGGTTGGTGTAGAAAATGTCGACGGTTGCATCTTCTTGAGACAATTTTCCGTCTTCCTTTTGTGTGATGGGAGGAAGAAGAAGTTCTTCGTAGATTTGCTGCCTGATGGTGAGGGGCAAGTCGAGAAGACCGATACTCATGGCGGACAAGAGGAATGCTTCGGGAAGCAGTTCGAGAAGTCACAACCTCCTCTATGAAAGCAAAGAGTTAATAGAATGTGTGCGGGGGAGGATGGCTATCCGTCAGTGATGGATTGTAGTTGCCTTTAGGGACCGTCTTTTTGCATAGCAAGCGATCGTGGCTGTGCGAATGCAAATCTCATCCTTCGTCTCATTCCTGCGCTTACAGGCGTTTCAAAACCTCCCTTGGAGCCTTCTGCACGAAGTAGTCCTCGGGTAGGGTTCAAGAGGACGTTGTGGAGCGACGGCGTCTCAATGCAGTTATGCGTAAAAGCTTCGGCGGAATGGCTGGGACGACGGCCCCCGCTTGGCCCGTGCACAGAGTTGCACTTTCCTCACAGCCCCGGCTTCTACTTGCACATCCCACAATGCATCTGATGTCTACTGTCAGGTAGCGGCTCAAGGGCAATCGATTTTGTGACTGACCAATAGCTGCATCCTGGCAATCGCGTCCTGCCCGGAGCAACTCTTGCAAAACTCATTCTTCGTTCGAACGATCCAGGGTATTTAATCATGCGAATTGAGTTAATTGATTATCTTCCAGATCGAGAATCCTCGTAGCCTCTCGCAGAGATAGGCGTCGTTCGATATCGAATAGGACCGATACGCATGTCGCACGTCGCAGCTCAATAGAATGCCTTTTCAAACACCACATCCGCCAGCCCACGCACCCTAATCCATTCCCGTTCCCGCCGCATGCTCACAGGTACACAGTGTCGCAATCTTCCCCCTCAATCACGAAGATGACGAAATTACCCGCTATTCCCTCCTCCCCCAAGAAATGCCATGAACGCGCTAGCCCCTAAACAGGAAGCTCGAGATGCCCACATCGTACGCTGAGCCACGGGCCCTCGCACCGCACCCTTGTCCCTCTCCTCTTGTAGAAGGCTGAGATGAGTATCGCAAGGTACCTGCGTCGTCGATGATGGCGTTACCAATGCCAAGAATGTCGATGACAGGCAGCAACGGCTATATAAGATGGAGAAAAGCCGCCGTGGGAGAGTGAGATCGCGTCGCCACTTGAAATGCCCCTTGGAAAGATGAGGTTCTTACTCCCCACCTTCGCATTGCTATCGCTCGTCGCGAGCAGTGTTGTTCCCAGCGTTAGCCCTATCTCCTACGATGGCTATCGAGTTTACCGCGTAAAAACCGGCAAGAATCTCCTCGCTATAAGAGAAAAACTCTCCTCCTTCACATACTCAACCTGGAATCATGACCTTACCCGCAACATCGACCTCGTCCTCTCTCCGGACCAAGTCCCTGCCTTCGAAACTCTCGGTCTAGACACCAAATGTCTGCACGAAGATCTAGGTGCTTCAATCGTGGCAGAATCGCAAGTAAAGTCGCATTGGAAACGACAAGCCAACGACTCCAATGATGCTTGGTTCGGCTCGTATCATCCCTACGAAGAGCACATTGAGTACTTCAAGGAGCTGCACGCTTCATTTCCGAATCAATCAGAGTGGATTTCGTCAGGCACGTCGTACGAAGGGAGGGATATTTACGGCCTGCACTTGTGGGGTGCCGGGGGCCCCGGAAAACCCGCCGTCCTTTACCACGGCACCGTGCATGCCCGTGAGTGGATTGCAGCTCCAGTAGTGGAATACCTCACACTGCAATTAATCTCGGGCTACAAAGCGGGAGACAACATCACGCAAGCCTTCCTCAACAATTACGACTTCTACATCCTGCCATTTGTCAACCCTGATGGTATGTCTCCCTATCAATCCCACTTCCGCTGGCCCTAACACGCATAGGCTTCGTCTACAGTCAAACGACCGAACGCCTGTGGCGCAAAAACCGCCAACCCGGACCAGGAAACAGTACATGTTATGGGCGTGACATAAATCGCAACTGGGCCTTTGGCTGGGATGCAAACAACAGAGGCGCATCTACAAATCCATGCTCACAAACCTACAAAGGCGAGGCCCCCTCCGACACCCCCGAAAATCAGGGACTTTCTGCTTTCGTCGACAAACTACGTGACGGCCCGGGCATAAAGCTCTTCATCGATTGGCATAGCTACGGGCAGTACATTCTCTCCCCCTACGGCTACAACGAAACCCTGTACGCGCCCGAGCTGGGCAAATGGACTAACGCCGCCGGGCTTGTGAGCGAAGCGATCCGCGATAGCTCAAGCGCGCGGACCACATTTACGTTTGGGCCGAGCGGGGCAACGTTGTACACTACGACGGGGGCGGCGCCGGATCATGTGTATGAGGTTGGGAAGGCAGACTTTTCATATACGATTGAGTTGCGGGATACGGGGGATTATGGGTTTGTGTTACCACCGAGTTTGATTAGGGCGTCGGTGGAGGAGCAGTGGGTTGGGCAGAGGGTGTTGTTGAGTTTGTTGGACGAGGTGTTCTTTGATGGGGTGGGGCCGGCAATTTACTTTTGAGGGGAACGTGGGAGTAAGTCGCGCGAGCTGGGGCTCATTAGCAAGAATATAATGCACGATGGACCACGATGCCGGAAGATGATCCAATATCTTCCTTGGCCATATTTGTCCCATGTTCGTGGCGTGTAGCGATGATGCCTATTCGGCGAAAGAGTAAGTTGTATTGTAGGGAAGTATACCTGTTCTGCGGTATCTCTCTCGAAGCGCTGAGTTGAAGGTGCCGCTACCGATAGGCTTTTGAGACGTCTTCAAGAGTTCGATGCTGAATCGGCGTATTGGGAGAATATTGCTGGGGTATGTCAGTTGTATTTATGGACGGTGGCGACAACGCAGAGGTTGACATGCAAGGAAAGATCGCCTCTCTAAGGCACTGGATTGGAGAGAAATGCTTATCCTTCTGACTCTAGCAACTAAATAGAGAATTACCGAGAATCAAAGCTCTGTCTATAGGGTAGGTAAGTAGCGTTTGATGTTTCTGCCCACAACACCAGCCACCAGCAGCCCAAAAATATCTACAACGCCCCATCAACCATCATCCCCCCAGATGAAAAGAAAAGCATAAAAAACAAAAAGAAAAGAAACCATCCAATGCTGACTCAGCCGAGGCTTGAACTCGGGACCTTCAGTGTCCATTTTTTCCATGTTAGACTGACGTGATAACCAACTACACCACCGAGCCGTAGGACGCTGTGTTCCTCGAATTGTAAATTTCGAAGTGCAGTAAAATATATAAAATACAAAAAAAGTGCACACCACGAACCAGTGCGGCCTTGTCTTTTCGACCTTTCAATTTGGCATAGCACGGAAAGATAAGGCGTGGTGGGTTGTTGAAAAATTTTGCATGCACCGATTGGGTGCGGAAGCGAGCGGACTAAGGGGCTGAACTCCCACCCATCCTGCATCGACCCATTCTCGCACGAACTTCAAAGGTATGCCACACACCACGAAGGTATATTCAACGAAACGACAAGTTACAATATACAGACGCATGCGTTGACACGGTATATTTGCGATAGGAACCTCACATGCATGATGCCAAACGGCCCATCACAGATGTCACCACCATAACGCACAACCTTGAAACTTTCGCATACATCTTTCAATTCAATACTATTACATAAAAATCTGAGACTGCTCAACGCCAGAATCCCCTGCTATTGATCTGCATCATGCGGATGAGACCCGACACATCCCCTATTGTGGGAAGGCATTCCTCGCCATCACACCCACGTACCGTGGTCGCGCACATTTCAAGCGCGCATGCCTCACCCTACCTTCATATGCTCCCAAGATAGGAACAAAGCTTATATAGGGCTCAGACCCAAGAAAGGGCTCACGAACGGGTCGGTAGTGCTTGAGCGTGTAATTGGGGTCGTTTGCGCTGTTGTCTTCCAACTCCTTCTCGCGCACTTCCTCTTCATCCACAAAATCACAAACGGAAGCGTCCGGGATCGGTAGTCCCGTAGAACCCGTCTTTTCGACGCGTTTTTTGAAAACCGCTAGCGGCCAAGGAGGACAGGCCTGTATGGAAGCAGGTGCGGTTGCACTCGGCGGCGGAGCAGGCAACCCCAACCTCTCCCTTAACTCCTTGTCATAATCCCTCCTCGCCTCCCAATTCACCAGCACCGCATACGCCGTCTGCAGCGCAAGATACTTACTTGCGTCCGTGCGGAAGTACTCACCGCGCAGACTGCGATGAGCGACTTTGATTTCTTCTGTGGTGGCCCAGGGATCCAGGCCGAGGACTGCATAGTGGTCCACGAAGGAGTCTGGAGATGTGGTGGGAGAGCTGGTGGAAAGGGAGAGGGCGCAGAGGGGGTCGACGAAGACGCCCGCGGGGATGGGGGCTGTGCGGGGGGGTTGCTGCATGGCTGTGGTGAGGGTGGTAGTGGTTGGGCGGGTGGAGGGTTGAGTCATGGGTTGGTGGTAGCTGCTGCGTTCACGGCGTTCGATCGGAAAATGGGCTCGATTGTGATCCGGCACATTTGGAGACTGGGGGACGGTGGTGGAAGAAGCATGTTTGCTTATATGAGGTTTGTCTGTCGGAGAAGAGTGTCTGTACACAACGTCTTGTTGGCGATGCGTATTGTTCAGGGGGAAGGATCGAAATCATATGGGTAGACGCATTGTGCAGACCAATAACGCCGCCTGTGGGGTTAGTTAACCAAGATTCAGATATGCAAAGGACGTCTCAAATTAATCAATCTACAACACCAGATACCTACACAACGCCATTCGCAGCACCATCACTCTGTCTCCACCCCGCCTTCTCCTCATTTCCCATCCTCTTGAACCCCCTCCCTTTACTGCCCCGTCCCCTACCACGTCCCCCACCCTTACCTTCAGTACGTCCTCGTCCCCTACCCACCGAAAAGGGAATCCTGACTAACGGCTGCTCAACCCACTCCACCCCTTTAAGCCCCAATCTTTCCTTCTCAGCCTCATCCAATCTCCATGCCTGGTATAATCCCATCAATTTCTGTTGATCCACCTCGTCATTATTCGGCCCAACGCTTCGTGCCAACGAAATGCCTCTGAGCTCCGGCACCCAGGCTTTTATGTACTCGCCCTGAGCATCATAGTCGAGAGCTTGCTTGACGGGATTGAAGACGCGGCCTTGGCGAGGGTCGTTGCCGACGCCTGCGACGTATTGCCAGTTGCCCCAGTTGTTGGGCATGTCGTAGTCGGTGAGGAGGAACTCGTACCACTCTGCACCCACACGCCAATCGATACCGAGGCGTGAGGATAGGAAGGAAGCGACATTTTGCCGGGCACGGTTGGACGTGTAGCCAGTGAGGAAGAGTTCACGATTCGCGGCATCGATAAGGCCGATGCCCGTACGTCCAGATCTGAAGCGGGTGAAGACTTCTCTGGTCATTTCTGGAAAGTCTTTTGCGCCGCCGCTTCGATCGAGCATCTTCCATCGCTTGCGGGGTGGTCGGTGATCGTCATGTGGTGTAGGGTCCTCAGCGCCTTTCCGAGACGACGTCGGAGGTTGTTGTATGCCCTGAATGCCAAACATTCTTGATCCGAATTTCCTCGCGCACAACCGCATGTAATCACGCCAAAGGAGCTCGAATCTTACACCAGCCGTACCGTCATTCTCGCCTTTCCCGTAGCCAGCGATTTCTTTCCCAGGCCCCCGCCCTTCCTCAAAGTCGACCATTGCCGCATGCACCTGCCTTGCAGTTAGGTGGCCCTGTGCGAGATACGCGGATAGCTTTGTGCTGAAGTCTAGCCCGAGCATGCCGTTCCGGGTTTCCTTGTACGAGCTCATCGCACCACCAGAGATGAGTTGCGCGAGGCGGTCCTGAGCTGCAGATTCTCCTCCACTAAACGGGTGTGCAGAGGATACATTCGTAGGCCAACAAGGTGGTGATGGGAGACCGAATGTCGGGTCTGCTTCTAGCGGGGAGAGAAGTGCTTTGGTTAGGCCATCCAGGGTATCAGGGATTTCAAAAGGCTCTTTCTGCGGAGGTATATCTGGTGGGAGTGGCGGCAATTGCTTGATCGGCGATAGGGGTTCCCGTGGACGCAAGCGAAGAGGCTCAAGCGACTTGCGATATGTAGTGTAAACGTTGGGTAGGTCAGAGATATTGTCGAAAGGTAGGTCGCGACTGCAAGATGTCAGCTCATATGGTATAGAAGGGACCTGGGTGCGTAGCTAAAGGATGAACACACTCGTCAATGTAATATTTCTCGTCGTCCCATACCTTGAATTCGACACCCCTCTCCTCGGCGAGACGTTCTACTTCGGCCTCGTCAACCTTCTCTTCGGTACCCTCCTCGCCGGTCATCCAAATACCTGCAACGTCTGCTCTGTGGCCCCCATCACCCTCGTCTTTCTCGTACCAGTCGAGCATGTGCTCCACCACATCCCCAACCATTCCAACTCTTACTTCCATCCCCGAGTCGCAATCCAGGTTCCCGAGCCTCTTTTTCAGATCCCATACTCCTTGCGCCACGAATTTGGCACGATGGGGTCCCGTGCGCCAAACTCCGGCAACTCGACTCCGTGCCTCGGGGTAGGGACATCGCCCGGAACTAGCCGGCACGAATCCAGAAACTTCCACTTGGTGTGCAGGAAAGATATAAACAGGGAGAAGGTGAGTGAATGCTGGAGCGTCTTCTTTTGAAACGAGAGAGTCTTCGCGGGGCCGGACGTCCGCTGCGTCAATGCTGCTTCTCTTTCGTGACCACAGAGCGGACGCCGCAAGGAAGATGGGATTATCTGAGAGGCGAACATCATGCCGGAGGATGTAGATAAGCACGCGCGGCCTCGCAGCGGCCGCGCACATACTGGAATTATTTTTCTGTGCGAGACCGACTTCGCGTTCCAGGCAGCCCGAACAAAAGGACGAGTTGCACAAGGGCCAGCTCACGCAACGACGCAACATCAAGGATGTCAACTTCATGAAGATGCGCTCAAAAGGGGATACATGGTCGGGGTTTTGTGGTGCAGTTGGCACTAGTCAAGAGGCAAAGGGTAAAGAAGGTCTAATAGACACCAGACGTCATGACCAGGACGAGCGTATTCTAGCACAAGCACCGAAGGTTCGAGGGCGGACAGCGCATACTAAAGAAACCAAAGCATGTCATCCGTCAAGCCTTCGGGGCGGGCAGCTAGTCCTATTGTTGCGATGTTGGGTTTGTGGAGATCAGATTCAGCAGCAGCGTGACTGGGGGCATGACGCATGCAGGGATGTTAGCCTGCGCACATCATTGGGTTCGCGGGCGGATAGCAGGGTAGATTGGCGATGCGGTCGGCGACGTTGGCAAAAGGTTTCTTTCGATGGTGGTGCTGTCATGGACATTTGAAGATCGCGAGGTTTATTGATCCGACTAAGCTACATATGGCTAGCGTTGATCTCGGTAATGGCGAAAGATCTAGATTTAGTTCCGCCCGCCATGCCGAAAGGGACACCCCTGTCAATACTAGAAACCGCCATCGGGAAAGTTGCTCGTTGCTCTTGATTTTGGCGCGGGTGGACGAGGTATGGCAATCGGTGGAACAACTCAGGTGCTCAGGTACATATGCATGCGTTCTACATCGAGCGCATCTCGCTCTCCCCGGTTAACGCCACCACCGAGACCCTTGCCCCGCACATTTCTCGTTTCGACCGTGCCTTTAACATACAGATCGATGGATGCCCTTGTGCATCGGCGTACGAGCTATATGCTGATTCTTGGCCTGTAGGCCGTGGGAGGAGTATTGCTTCTGCAGGTGAGTCAGCGTGTTTCTTTGAAGCGAGGTGCATGGAGCGGCTTCTCAGAATGGAAGTTCGAAGCGACTATGGTGTCGTGTTCAGACACAGCATTCGGACCGGGGTTTCGTACCTCAATACTCGGTGTCGGCTGCCATCCAAGCAGGTCGGCCTGATCACTACTCATCAAACTCTCGGTAATGGAGCAAATGTCGGTGACCAGCCGGTCAATCATGTCCAGTGACAAGCTTTCACGAACGACCACTCTCAGGATCTCTGTCTTATCCTCATTTGGCGGTAGCGGGTAGTCTATTCTTGTTAGCTAAGTGGGCCGAACAGGGGGTTGTGCTTACTCGGGATAATGTATTGCTTGGCCCTCAGTAGGTTGCTAACGGAAACTTGCTTGATCAGCGGGAAGTTTTTCTTAACATCATCGGTGAACGTGAAGGCGACTACTGGCAGTCCGGCATTGTAA